GCTCTTCCGCAAATTCCACGACCTTCTTCACACTTTTCATCCGTTTCATCCCCTTTCCCTTTCTTCTCTTTCTTTTCCCATCGATATCCAGCTATCGTCGCTGCTTTACTTATTTCTAAGCATCGATATCTCGATACCGTCGATATATCGATATCGAGGTATTAACGGTAATGAAATAAAAGAAAAATGATCCTTTACCTTCGCAAATTCGGTCCAAACTCGAGACGAAATAATCGTCGCAAACAATGGCAAGGCCCAAAAAGGTATAAATTGCGACTAAAATGTGAATGATCAGTCCACCGTGTTTCCTGGCTTTTGGACCCATTAACGGTCGCGGAAATTGTTCGATCGCTGGCGGTGAACAGTTTTCTCTTCGCGGTCTCCACGTTGCGCGTTCATATTTCATCGTAGTCGTTGTTGCAACCTAAAATCTCGAATTATCACTAGCTCATATACCAGACGAGGTCATATTATACGTCGAGATAGTTTATCCGAATAAAATAAATCGAAAATAAAGTAAATCGAGAATAAAACTCGTTACAGAGTCTCACCGTTGTAGTTCTCGGAAGATTCTTCGTCGGAGGTGTCGCCACTTCGTTCTTTGGGGCAGCCGTTTTCTCCGCCGACTCTTCCTTCCATTCTCCAAGTATCTCTTTCGATTTCGCTTCTTTCCCTTTTGTTTCTTGCTGTTGCTCTTGCCGTTCTTCTTTACCTTTGTCCTTTTCCTCTCCCCCGTTCTTCGCTTCCACCTTTTCAGGCTCTTCTTCTTTCGATACGCTTTCCGCGCATAACAACGTCTTCTCCTTTCCTTCTGTTCCTTCCGCGGTATTTATATCTGAATCGGTCGTGTACGATTCCAACGTATACGATTCTAAGGTCCAGTTTTCCTCGCGATCCGTCGAACTGGGATAAGGAGACGTTACCTCTTCAACGGGTATTTTTGCACAAGTCACGTACTGGATTAACACATACGCGAGGAACAGCCCGAAGCGGAGAGGCCATCGTTTGCGTCGCGAATTACTTTGCAACTGAATTCGTCTCATTTTAATCCTCTGAAACATACGTACGTACCTACATACATACATGCATACATACACGCATATATACGTACACGTATCGTAGAAATTTACGAACGATGCATGCACGCGATTTCCTTTTCTACGTACACTGAACACGGAAATTGAAGGTTAATTATAGTTAAAGGCGCGAAGAAGACGAAGAAAAGAATTGTCCGGACAATTCGAATCAGTCGACATTCGTGCATTGCTAATTAATTAATTGATTGATTGATTGATTGATTGATTGATTAATTCATTCATTCATTCATTCATTAATCCGCCCCCCTCCCCCAAAGATTAGCCCTCCAACAACGAAAAGCTATTTACGTTCGCAATTATTTCCGTCCGGATACACGATCGATTTCTTTCGAAAAACTCTCCTATTACACGTGTCTCGTGGCACGTTACCTAACTTTCATTAACGTGCATAATATTTCGCGCTCCTTCTATCTTGCGAACATCTCGCAAGATATAGGAAAAAGGATTAAACGACTCTCATCTCGATACACTGGTGTATCGATCGTAAGAAGTATACTAATTCGCATACGCGTACAAGCCGTGACGCGCCGCATATGCCATTAACCGTATTTTACGTTCGATTCTTGCGAATGAACGAACAAATGAAGAAAGGGGCGGAGACATACCATGTTCTCGTTCGATTATTCATCCTCGCTGAGAGATAACACGGTTAAAACGAGTTGAAAGTCTCGTTTCTATTCCTTTAACGATAATTCCAATCTAAAAATACCCAACCAGCAACGGAACGTTTGACAGTTCGTTGCAAACATTTCCTTAAAAATCAATCTATACGTATACGCGTTTAATATCGATTATCGTTGCTATATTTATTCAAAACCATAAAATATCCTTCATTTTTCGCGCAAATGCGACATTTCGGTGAAACACTTGTAACCACGTGTGCAACTACTCTTTCACTCGGAGCCGAATTATATACGCCACGCGACCACGTTTCAACGAAATCTTTTCTTCCTAATATATACTTGTGTAACTAACATACAACGTCCATCTTTACTTTCATATCGACGCGTTTTCTTTTTATTTTCAATACGTTTCAACTATTCCTTTCGCCGCTTTATTTCTCATACGCGAATTCGACATTGTAATATCCTAACACGATTTATATATCTTACTCCATCAAAAGATAAATACGAACAAGCGAGAAATTATTATTTCATTCAAGAAACTTCGAAAGGATATTCAAATGACCTCTACAATTTTAAGTACGAATGTGTGTGCGCGCGCGCGTGTGTATACATACGTATGCATATACGTGAGTACATACGCGTGTGTATGTATGTATGTATGTATGTATATACTCGTAGAACGAAAGAAATGTAGATACTGAAAACGAAAACCCTAAAATACAGTAACGATAAAGTATACCATATCCCTTAATAACAAATAAATCTAGAACTTGGATAAAAAATAAGTTTAACAAAATAAACATGTTTAGCGGTTGAAACTCGTTGAGTATTAGATAATGATATTTTTCATTGATGGAAGAATCGAGGCAAGTAACTTTATTTGTCGCGATTAGCACGTACGAGGATAAAAGCGTGAGAAAAACCAAGATGCCAGTGAAAGTGACCCAATTCGAGGTTTCTAGCGATCGTTAAACGGTACGTATATACGAATCGACGTATGTATGGTAGCTCGGCACAGTCCACAGCTTACCCCTTTCTCAGAAACGTTGCACATTATTCACCACCAAATTCAAAGTCGCCAGCCCTTTTTATCCGTCTTAAAGCACGTACGCAGCACCGATAATCGACACGCAAACGAAAAAATAACGGTTTAGCGATCGAAAGCACCGTTTTACCTTCTACACCCGACCACGATTTACAAACGTTTCTATCACGACAGAAACTCGCTATCGAGTATCGTATGCTAGCTGCCTTTGACGTCGACGTCAATGTCGATTTCGATGTCGTCGTCGTCGTCGTCGTCGTCTTAGTCGTTGTTCTCACTTTAGCTGGTTAACGACAAACTTGAATATTTTTCTAAGAAGTAAAGACAAATTTCATCACTGCGTCGTACTCGAATTATTGATTTGCATAAAAACTGTCGGTTACGATGCGTTCTCGGTGTATTTGCGCGGTACGTAGGCGTCGTCTTGTTGGTTACGTAGCTGTCGTGCTTACTGAACCACCCTCGAATCAGCACAACGTCCGATATCGTTGTCTCTTTATCGACGTCACAACCTCATCATCGTACCATGAGAAAATATTTCAATAGTTTGAAAAGATACTTTGACACGGTGCATTTACATCTCTTATTCTTTTCCTTGCATTTCTCTCTCTCTCTCTCTCTCTCTCTCTCTCTCTCTCACACACACACACACCCACCCCCCCCCCCCACACCCCCCCACCCCACCACCCCCCTCTCC